ATGTGCTTGTGGTGCCTTTTGCATTATTAGGGGCCAGATGTGCTTGTGGTGCCTTTTGCATTATTAGGGGCCAGATGTGCTTGTGGTGCCTTTTGAATTATTAGGGGCCAGATGTGCTTGTGGTGCCTTTGCATTATTTGAGGCCAGATGTGCTTGTGGTGCCGGTGTTCCCTGGTGGCGACATACAGTCCGTAGGGCCGTAGGCTGATTTGTATGGTGTGTGAGTTGTTGTGCCAGTGCCTTCTCAACAATCATCTCGGAAACATCATCTTGACGGAGTTTTCTTTTTTTTTTTTTTTTTTTTTTTTTTTTTTTTTTGGGGTTGTGTATGCTATGGTTGCTATCTATGAATTGCCCTCTTCTACTGGGCCTCATAAAGCATTGCGCAAAGTACGACAGGTTCAAATCGTGTAGGATCATAGGATGCTGAATTCTTCGGAAGAGTGGCCAAGTGCTCAAAAGAGACAGACTGTAAGTAAATCTGTTGAAGGTTACATTTCTACCTCTCCCACTCCGTGGCCTTCATACATTGATGAATTACATGTAATGTACTTGTGGGGGCGAAAGTCTAGGATGGATCTATTCTATTATATCTGATGGTAATTCTCTGTGTCTACTCTTCGTTGCTAATTTCATTACGTATGATATCAATCCATATAGAACTGGACAGTAAATTGGAAAAACACAAATGTGTTAGTGAAGGCCGAAGCTCAGTGTATAAGCGGCGCCTTGTTATCAGAAATTCAGGATCAAAAATTTTTGGACTTGATAGCATTTTTCAACAAACCAGATGCCAAAATGTTAAGTCAAATTATTCCGCCTGAATTACACATTCTATTGAATGAATTTGAATCACAATATGCAAAGCTGAAGAACACTGTAAACAAACACCAGTTCACCATAGCCCCTCTACTCCATGCTGTTCAGGCTGCCGCTTCTCAGATATTGCATGAGTTCTAACTAGTACAAGCGCCTGGCACCTTGGGGATGGAGCTGACGGCCCAGGAGCCCATCCGAGTACTAGCAGTGCTAAAATGGCTGAAGTTTGAAGCAAAAACGTTATAGTTACTAGTACAAAAATTTGCAAACATCACTAAGTCCTCGCAAAAGGTTTTCAAATAGGATTGTTTGGATTGTGGTCTATGATGGTCTTTTTATTGATTTTAACCATTGGTTTTGTTTATGAATGGAAGAAGGGCGCTTTAGATTGGGAATAACACATTTGGGTAACTAGCTCAGTTGGAAGAGTGCATCGTTTACACCGTCGATGGGAAAATAACTTAGTTGGTTAGAGACTTAGAGTGCTGGTCTGTCACGCCAGAAGTCGCAGGTTCAAATCCCGTTTTCCCCGGGAGGTATGGCTGAGTGGCTGAAAGATTATGGACGAACAACACGATATCCACCAGATATCTCCCAGGATGATGGTACAGTTTCCCCATTCTTGTCCGTAAAAATGCAGTATCCCCTTTCTTGCACGCCATGCCAGGTTTTCAGCCTTGTTTGAACATCGCGCCAGAGCCCACTACCCTCCCATTGCGCCAGAGCCCACTACCCTCCCTTTTCCCTTGTAAAACAATCCGCTCAGGTAACCAAGCTGTCTGAGTTTCATGCCCACGTTGCTAGCCGCTCATCATTAGTACTGTCCATGCTTTTCTATGTATCGCTCCAGCTGATGCTGCAGCCTTCTGTTCCTTTTTCTCCATAAAAGGGGAATTGTTTCAGAGGTCTGTAATGAAGTTCCGAATCACCCAAATTACTTTGTTGTTATCTAACCTATGTACCATCCAGATTCCGCGTGGTTTCTTTCATAAGATTATCCCTGTTTCGAGGTGCACCAACCTGCTGGCGCCAACTGTTCTTTGCAAGCGTTAGCTCTCGTGGAAATGGAAATGCTTTCAGAATTTCTTCAACTATTTTTTCTCCTTTCCTTTTTCATCCAGAGCTGCTACAAGATATGATTAGGAGGTCACCCTACAACCTGCTGGCGTCATCTGTTGTTTCCAAGCGTTAGCTCCTGTGGGTATGCTTTCAAAATTTCTTCTGCTAATTTTCCTGTTCTTCCTTTTCATGCAGAGCTGCTCCAAGATATGATTCATCCATGTAAAGGTTGCCGGCCACGAGTCTTGCCTCATCCCTTTTAGTAAGAGCACGATTCTCACATTACATACACATTGCGACTCCAG